CATTCGAAAATAAAACGAATGTTCTGTATTGACATCTACGAGAGGAAGCAAAATAAAATACTTTTCTATTTATGAAACTTTATTTCGTGTTGTTGTTCGAATTCGGAGTTTTCGTTTTCTTTATAGTTTCCCATCGACCTCACTGACAACTCCGCAATCGAAAATCCGATAGTCGTTGAATGGAATAACGACTCTGCTTCATACTTGTATGAATTATTTATGATTTTGTTGCGGAAGTGTTCCGATAGTAATTCAACGATTCTCGTTTCCTTCAGTGACTCGTAAAGGAAGAGTTCATTGAGCTTGTATTATTACTTCGCGATGAATCAGAGAAATTCAAGAGAAGGAATAATATTTTTCTACGAAGTTGTTGGATAGACTGTTTCTATTTCACTTCGTTAGGAAGTTTTCATCTGATTGTGAAGGGGAAATAAACTACCCAATACTCTATCGAAAATAACTGGTTCAATTGATATTTCTTCAAAGGATAGATTTTAATTGTGGTGTCGAATCTGATTTAACGAACCTCGAGCTTTGTGATGAAATTTTTAAATAGTAGGTTACGTCTGGTTAGGAACGACAATGCACAAATTTTCTATAAATATAGAAAGTTATTTGATTTTCTGATTGATTCGGCCGTTAATTGATGAAGATCCATAGTAATTTCAAAAACTACACCTCACGATTTGATTTCCACAACCTCCATTTGAGAAATATAATCACAACATGTTTCGCTAGCACAGTAGCTTTCTCAAGTGTATGAATACTTCAAATTGTTCTACATTAATATTCATATGCTACAGGTAACCATAATTTACACTACCTCGAAAAATTACCTGAACCTCTACCTAAGGTACCTGTTGAATTATGATTACCTAAAGCATATTATTACGTCACATTTACACTTTCTTGGATTTTAAAAAAACAAATTCAATTATGGTGATCTATTCAAATCTAGCTGGTCATTCATTAGAATATTTGAATCATTGAGTTCATTAATTTCCATTGCTTCCAAATGATTTAGTTTCAAACCTTAATTTTCTATCTGCAAAATTTCGAACTCACCATTGTAGATATGATTTTCTGTTAGAAGATGATTTGAATATGTTGAATTTGTTTTTCATATTTACATAGCTCGTATGATGTTCCTGCATTCTATTCCAAAATGTTCTGCCAGTTTAACCAATATATACTTCAGAGCACGTTCCACACTTTAATTTATATACTCCTGATTTCTCGAATTCGGATGTCTCGTCTTCATTATTTTTAACTAACTTTCCCAACGTATTACTTGGTCTATATGCAATTTTAATATCTCGTTTCCTCAAAAATTAAACCACTTTTTCCATTGGTTGTCCAAAATACGTTAAAGCTCTATAATTTTTAATATCTCCCTTATCAATAGGAGAAACGTCTCGAATCGCTTTTGCGTAAACTTTTTTGGAAAGTATTTTGTTAATTAATTCGGCTTCAAACCCATTGTTTACCGCAATTTGCTTGATGATATTGAGTTCTTTTTTTAAATTATATATTGAGAGAGGAACATCGACTAATCTGTGAATCATGCTATCATAAGCTGTTACTTTGTGTTGATGAGGATGGGTAAAATCGTAATGTATAGTAATATTCGTATAGAATGGTTTGTGATAAATTGAAAAATCGTGTTTGTTGTTCCTTCTACTAATTGCCCAAGAAATTATTTGAGTTGTCTGCTTCTATTTCAATAGTGAATTTATTGTTCTCATGAATATTGTTAATATCCATTTGAAAAGTATCTAATTGCCTCTTAGTACTTATAAAACATACCAAAATGTCATCCACATATCTATGCCAATACAAGAAATTCTTAATCAAAGAATGTTTAAAGATCGACATGAACATTTCTGCAAGTAAGGAGCTCAATGGATTCACCATAATTGAGGTTTAATTATGGGAAATCCATCAAGCCCCTTACTTGCAGAAATTTTCATGAATAATATAGAGATTCCAATTTCGATACCACCATCCTCTATTCAGATCAATTTCTGGCCGTTCCTCACTGAATTCGGTATTGAATTGAAATTTCATTTCATCTCATGAATTCATCTAGATTTCTGGGATCTGTGGGTATCAAACCATCGTCAACATATGAGAATTTTCCCGCTATGTCTTTTCCTGCTGAATGTATACAAATCAGCTTCGCTGAGTATGAATCCTGAATTCTACAAAAATTTACTTGAAAGCCTGATTCAACATCTCGGAGCTTGCTTCAAACCATATACGCTTCTTATACCTGTTTGTATCGTCATTATATTCGTCCGACTGTTTCATATAAATCATTTTTTCGAAATTACCATAGAAAAACGCCGTAAATACATTAATTTGGGGCTCACATTTTTGGACGGTGATTCGGGTTGTATAAAATCGTGGTGAATTACACCAGCCGCTGACCACCAAGAAGTAACTATAATGTAGATGAGCAAGGCCGGTTCTGGAACACTTTGAAGTCACGCGACGTTGGTATGTGTGTGTGACAGTGAGAGGGGGGGGGGGAACGTATGGAGTAATTGATGCAGAAAAGAAAGTCTCTTTGTGACATGTTGGAACACACGTGGAGACGTTAGACCCTCCTAGTGGTTGCCGTCTCATTTTCATCGAGTCGTATTCCTAACCCTTCATGCATTATTCTGAAACTGGCAACGCTTCATCGCCCCATAAACAACGATTCATTTTACAACCGACAACACGGATCCTGTCACTCTTGCGCTGGCAACGTATCACTTCATACCATCTCCATCTCTCTCTTCATCGATAACGTCACACGTGTCTCTCACCCTTACTCACACGTCTTATGAAACAACAATTCTTCGCCAAATTTGAGGGTATTTCCCTATCTTCCTCATGAAAATGACGTCACAATTTTCCTAAAGTTCTACGGAGATCAAGAAATGCGGTTTGTTATCGAAAATGACGCGCCATAAGTATCAACAGTTCGCAATTACTTCCAAGATCTCACGTTGGACAACGTCTACCACGCCGACAACCTGAGTTCAATTCTCATACCGGTAAATTTGTTCAATTCAATTTCCCTCAGCTGTCTATGACCGCGTGACTGATATGCGACAAGGGAGCTCAGGGGTCAAGACCCGAAGGACGAGGCGGGGTCCCAAGGGGGACCCCGCCCGATGTTCCGATGATCAGATCTGTCGAAGTTTGTGCTGATACTCGCCGCGGAGTCAATTTTTCACTGCTGTTACCTCTTGTGAGTGGCGTTGTTTCACCTCGAGGTGGGTATACGTCTCTCCGGCATCTAGATGGTGTAGGATGCTTCCATCTACGAGCTGCACATCTTCCCCGTAGTCCCCGCATCGTCCTCTTTTGGAATGTATCATTGCACATTTGTCTATTCCGAACTTCATACCGATACCATGCATGTACGCTTCCACCACCCTCAAGGACTGATGGAGATCCTTTTCTCCAGAGGCATACATTTCAAGATCATCCATACAAAACAGATGGGTGACCTTGTGCCTCCGGTTTCCAGGGGTGCCACAGTTTTACCCTCGATTATTTCTGAGCGCAACGGATAATGGCAATAGTGAGATGCAGAAGAGAAGGGGACTGAGGGAATCACCCTGAAATACACCCCTTCTGGAAGTGACCTACCCTGTTTGGACTCTTGCTTGACCAGATGTTATGGTGAAGCGAGTTCGCCAAAGTGGTATCAGTTGTTCAATGCATCTCACTATGTTGTCGGGTATCGCAAGGCATCTGAGCAAATGCAAGATGAGCTCATGCGAAATTGTATCAAATGCCTTACGGTAATCGATCCAGGCCATAATAATAATAATGATAATAACGTTTTTATTATTTCCTCTTTTAATACATAAAAAAATCCTTCATAATATATTTAAGAAAATAAAGGGCGAAGTTCAACTCGGCAACGGAGAGAACTACTCTGTTGTTCTTACACTTAACCCTGTATCGAGTCCTGCGTTACATATCTATCGATGAGCAGTTTTTCCTCACATCCAGCGACTCCTCTCTTCGATCCTCTCTGCTCATTTTTTTTTTCACCGTAGTGTGCACTGGTCAGGCCCTATACTCCGAAGCCCCGACACATTCGGGAGGGCGCGACAGCATTATCAACCAATAACCACTCCCCACACCGTGGGGTAAGTGATCATTGGGTCCGAGAATAATGTGCCCTGTGCAAGCGCAGTGAGCCAAGAATGACAGCCTTCTGCACCTGTGCGGCTAAGATTTCTGCCTTAGTGCGGCAAGCCGGTATGATTTTAAGATTCGAGAGTAGAGAGGACATCATTCCACCAAGGAATCCAATAATCAGAACAACCATCTTGGCAGAGTGATCTGGATAGAGTCTGCGGAGTTCGAAGAGAAAATCTCGATATTTTTTTCGTTTTTCCTCCTCCTTTCTGACGATACTCGTTTAGCCAGGAGCTGAAAACTGCACGACAAATATCGTCTTGCTCTGGTGGTCGAGAAGGACCACATCAGGCTTATTGGCTTGAATGAGCCTGAGGGTGGGGAATGAATAGTTCCAATAAATTCGGCACTTCTCGTTATTATTATTACTATTATTATTAAGAGGGTGTGACTAAGATAGTGAGGAACTAATATACAAAATTTTGTAGGAAATGTCACGTTTTTTAGATTCTCCAGTGATATTTGATAGATACATCGTTGCTTGTATTTGTTCGAATTTTTCAGAGCATATTCCTCACTGAAAAATGAAGGTTTAGTGGAAAATACGAGACTTACAGAGTACTTTTCAATTTCACAGATATCTTTTTTAAAATAACTTGCACTAAACACACAATATTTTAATATAATGATTTTCTCCTATATTATCTCTACTTTCTGCTTTTGGATTTTTTCTTCAACAGAAAAAATCCGTACCTGAAAATTAATCAAAAAACATTGTTAACTATATTAATCTAGTTATCTCGTTAACATGTTAATCCAGAAACGCAATTCCATAACTCTGTTTCCATCCGCAGATCGGCGTATGGAAATCGTGGCAGAAAGAGGGTTTGGATATAAAGGACATCGTGTGGCCGGGAAATAGCCACACACCACCCCAGGGAGTGCCCGAGAAGTTCCACTTGAAAATAACGTATTTGGAAGAGCCTCCGTACATCAACTTGGCCCCTCCGGACCCCATCACCGGAAAATGTTCCATGGACAGGGGCGTGCTCTGCAGGGTGGCCAGCGATGCCGATATTACTGAGTGAGTGAGCAGATGAGATGATTTTCATCACAAGAATAATATGAATTTCTTATGAAAAGTATTACAAAATAGAGGTCGAGTGAATTTTTCATTTACCGTAAATGAAATCTGTTTCCTGATACAGATCATTTGTAGTAAATAACACATTTCAGTCACATATAAATACAGGGCGTTTCTTTTATCATGTGGTTACATTCTTATATTCTGAACCGTAACAGATACGATCAAATAGGAATAAATATAGTTTAGAAAAACTAAAAAATACACTTTTAAAGAACATCGAACTGAATAGTTAATTTCACAATAACGAACGAAAAACGCTAGTATTATTGTTGAAAAAGCGATGGGCGCTTGATATACAAAAATATGGAACAAAGCGCCCAGGCTTTTTCCACAATAATACTAGTATTTTTCGTTTGTAATTGTTTTAAGCTCATTTGAAAAACATTATTTACAAAAGAGTGTTTTTTAGTTTTTTTAAACTATATTTGTTTTTCTCATTTTAGTCCGATTCATTGTCAAAAATAATTTTATTTTAAGTTCTAGTCACTAGTATCATAAATATTTAACAGACGGCGCATGAATGTAAAATTCTCTCAAACAACATAATGAAGTTTGAGGTATTGAATTCTATAGTAATAGTGAGATGCAGTAAGGCTTCAACAGAGGGCGGACAGTTGTAAAAATTGTTTCGAAGTGAAGAGAAAATTTCAAGTAATAATTTCAAAAAACAATTCAGTCTTGATGTTTTGATTTGAAGTTTCATTCAAAATATCAATGGACTAAAAATAGTTTTTCAGTGAATAATTTTATTTTTCGAATCAATATTTTGATTTGATGTGTATGTCAAGCACCTTGATTCTAATTTCTCGATTTTTTGAAATATTCAAGTAACTTAATTTTTTAGGTGTACAATTTACGATAAAGTTTTCATTGTTGAAATCCACATTGGTTTGCTTTCAAATAATCGAATTAGATATCAAAATGTATATTCCATTTCGTTCAAAACATTTTTCTGCAAATATTTCATCTGTAATACAAAATTTCGCTAACACTTATAATTCTTAAAATATGTTTTTTATTTTGATTTTCTTTTGAACAACCTATCAAGGAGGTTACGTATAGCGCCATCTGCCTGCGAATAGTTCAAGCAATAATTGAACATACAGCACCATCTGCGAGTTATACGGAGTTTTCGTTTTTTCGAATGGAATTGTTATTTAGGAGAATATCAAAACATAGAAAAAAATGTTATTGTATTCGTAGTGTACTATGACGATGTAATAATGAATATTAGATGAAACGTTTCGTGTCAAACATGGCCACCATCATTTTTTTTAAATTTGGATCTGTCTTTTGTATTACAGATATTGGTAACGCAATAAATTCACAATCCAAGGGTATATCACATTTAATATTTTTATAGTTTTCATTTGACATAACCACCATCATCAGTGGCAACAATCAAACAGAAGAACAATTTATTTTATCATGAACTTTTGGAAAAAGTGATACCAATACGGAAAATCAAAGCTATATGGAAATCTACAATAAATGCCCGAATTGACAATCTCTTTTTTGAAAGCACATGAGTTGTCGGTCCAGACAATGTCTGTGACAATTTTCCAGCATAACTGGTGTATCTCTTATTTTTTGTTTGAGATGGTCGATATCTGTACTTAGTGTTGAAAAAACTTTATCCTTTATGTATCCCCAGACAAAAAACTAAAGGAGTAATACTCCAACTTTCCTCTACGTCTCAACTGTTTCGTAAATCGTACTCTTTTTCCGTAATCCCTTTCATTGAGGTGATGAACTTTGAGTTACCTGTAGCATTCATATTTGTTGTTTTTGAAAATAGTTCAGGTGCCTATTTCGTGAGCAGTTTCTCGTAAAGAACAATCTTGATTAGCATAATTTTTGTAACTGGTCAATCCTAAATAAAAAAAAGATGTTTTCACTATGTAAATTTTTATGTGATGATATTTGCTTACCCATAACATTTATTTGATTCCTCACACTTCCAGAAACCACACATTTCTTCATTTTTTTTCTGTCAAATGCACCATATTACTAATCATCCAAACATTTGGATGTTCGGAATACGACTATTCGGGTATAGCTCAACATACATATTCCCTGCCAAAAAAAAGTCTATTTGATTTTGCATAACTAAAGAGCATATCAGTCTTTTCATCATTTGAAAACATCTTGATATGTTCATAAACGTCTGACAGTTCTCAACAATGCATTCATTTTCCTGCCATAGAAACCAAACAAAGCCTACGCGTTTGAGATGGTAAATAAATTGAGATGTTATTTGATCATATCGAAATTTTGACCGAAAACTGATATTTCCGTTACCTCCAGCATTGATTATTATTGGTTAGGGAGAAATAAGCCTTGGAAGAAGGATTACGGCAATACAAAAATTTCAAAAACGAAAAAGGACGAATTTTCATTGTGTTAGGGTACCTACCTGTCGAATTTATTGGGTTGTCTGAATTATTTTTTGGAAAAATGAAAATAATTCACAAAAGAAGTAACGATAGGACCGTAATTTAAAATTGTTGTCACTGATGATGGCAGTTATTTCAAATGAAACGCTATAAAAATATCGAATGTGATGACCCCTTGGATTGTGAATTCATTGCTTTATCAATATTTGTAATGAAAAAGACAGATTTAAAAAAAGGGAATGATTGCCATGTTGACACGAAACGTTTTATCGAATATTTATCATTACATCGTCATAGTACACTTCAAATACACTGACATTTTTTCTTTCCAATTTTCATATTCTCCGAAATAACAATTCCATTAAAAAAAAAGACGAAAAACAGCATTTTTGGATTTCCCCGTATCACTCGAAAATAGCAAGAGTTCCCGTAAATTTTCTTCGGCCATTGGATTGTTCTCAATGACAGTCCCCTTTTTTCCCATTTGATCGTCTTCGTATCTGTTACGGTTTAATAGAATATAGCAAAGTTTCCACATGATAAAAAAAAAGGCCTGTATATTATATTCAACAAGTAATGCCAAATTACTTTTCCAAAATATGGTTTACTGATTCTAGTTGTCAAGAATTTCAGTGTGAAAAGGCATTGTAGTAATGGTAATTGTTTGAACAATAATAATAAATAATCAATTGTATAGGAATTGTCCTGTCATGAAACTCAAGAAACTGAGTCGAAAGTAAATTGAAAAAACATAAACGAATATGAGATTAATGAAATGAATTTTTGGGAACCAAAAAAAGTACGAAAACAAATTCATATCAACTGGGTTAGATTTACCTTAAAAATAGACTATAATATTATCTTTTAGATAAAAACGAATATACGTCATAAAAATAAAAATCTTTCAATCAGGTACTATTTCAAGCGGGATTTTAATGAAAGTGCAAATACCCAATTTCAGATCTAATTCGTTAATAATTGAACACTTTGAGTCCCATTACACTTGGTGACTTTCAACACGTGCTATATGAAACATCAATATTTTTTTTGCCTGGTACTGGGATGATGAATTTTAGATTCCAATAAATTTGAATCTGTTTCCAAAAATGTACGGAAAAGTTTCAAATATAAATTTGAGCAACATTATTGGGATCCTCTTATTTCTGAAAACTCATCAGCAGGATTCTCTTTTTTCCAGACCTGTCATACTTTTTTCAACTTTTTTCTGAGCAGTGAATATATCGTTTGCCAAAAGGTATAAACTCCAGAAACAGATTTCATAATGAAATATGTTGTGCCTAATAAAGTTGCTGTGGCATATCAGTATAGGGGGTATATCTGGGATTCCTCAGCTGAAAGGAGAGATTTAATGCTCAACTGGAAAATCAGATATTCATATTGAGTTTTCCAGGTTAGACATTCATCAACAAGTATACTAAGGAGTTCAACACATTTCTCGCTCGTAGTTAGATTACGAGAAAATGGGTTCTTTACAATCTCTCTGTTTATTACAAAATTTTATCAGTCATGAAAAGAAAAGCAGAAAACCACTATTCCGTTTTGGTAACAGTTATACTATGGTGACTTAATCCATGGAAACTACAGTATAAGTGATATATCCATTGTCTGGTTATTGTTAACAATTTATAAACATTGAACAAAATCTGCAATTAATGCATTACCAAAGTTATGAATATAGTAAAGAATCGATCAATGGGTCAGAGTTCACTGAACAATGATTAATTATTTTTATTTAAAAATGAGAAAGATGTTTTCAGCGAGCAGACTAATAATGAGTCATGAGCGTAATGGTAGACGGTGCAGGATATTTGAAGTGAAACAGGATCTAACACCAGACCAGTTTTTAGCCACAGTTCGTCGCGTATTTCTGATATTTGCCGGTCTTGGCGGAATCAAATGTGTGAGTCACTCGAACATCTGCCGTGAAAGTATCTAAAAAAAAGATACAAATGTCCAACTTTTCTTCGATGTTCCAGACAATCTAGACTATCAAAATTGCAAGTGATATTCGAGTCTCCAATCAGGCGAATGGATTTTTTCTGAATGGAATTCAGCAGCTTCGGGGTATGCTTGAGAGCGGAACTCCATAAGTGAGAATAATACTGTCAAATATGGAAAATAATCATGAAATAATTCGAATTCATTCAAGCGGATACATGATTTGAAAGATGTTGCAACTTTAATTTCAATATTCTGAAACAAAAACACTCAGTATTCAGAATTCCATCTTTTGATATTCCAAGTTCATAGACATCAAAATTGATAGGATCACAAGACATAGAAATATAAAACAATATCCAAATACGCAAACTTTGCACAGATTGCAGATCAAAGTTGCAATGTCAGCGTACAAATCTTTTTAAATATTGAGGGACGTCAAGATCATAAAGAGACGGTATTGAGAAATTCATTCAGTATCTATCGATCTTCACGAAAGGTTCCAGCACTGCAACACATCTCCTTTTCTTCGATCCTGCTGGGCAGTATAATGGGCAGTATAATGTTAGTTTTTGGTGATGATAAT